TAACAATAGAAATAAACTTTTATTATATTTTCCCTTTAATGATATGAGTTTACTGTTTATCTAACAACAATACTTATATATATATATATATATATTAATGTTTGATATATATTTTATTTTCTTTTCTTTTTAAATTTGAAAACGTCCATTTAATATGCAAGAAACTGACTAACGACCTATTCAAACATTTTTTGAAGGATTTATAATCATAAACACACTTTTTTTTATATATTAATTTATTGCATCTCTCTCACACATGAGTATTAGAATTATATTTCAACTTAGAATCCTTTTATGTTCTAACAGTAAATTTAATATATGGGGTTGATTTTCTTTTTTATACATGAATAAAAATTAATGGAATGTCTTGTATTGAGACACTACTATAATTTCTCTTATTATATGTGACTTTTTCTACAAATTTTTCAATAAAAATCGCAGGAAATGTAGTTTTTACAAATTTTTCTGTGAAATTTTATCTTTAAGTAATACTTTCGTGGATAATATGTTTCTGTGAATTTTAAAATTTGCAAGAAATTTTCCTGCGAAAAATATTCGCAGAAAACTTTCCTGTGAAATTTTTTACAAGAAAAAAAAATCAAAGAAATTAGTATTTGAAGGTAAATTTTGTACAATTTATATTAATAATTCTCCAACTTTCAAATACTTACAATGAATTCATCTGAAACATGTAAATTATAGGTCTAACACTCAACAATACAAAATCAACTTGTAAGGTGAGTGTTGTCCAAACTTATATACTGACGTGGGACTTGAGGTAAATCTTTTAATTCTTAAACTTATAAATTTATATATATATTTTTATTTATCCCGTGAATTAAAATTGACAGGAAAATCTGTAAAAAAGTTACCTCCAAAATTTTTCAACAATTTAGTAAACATTACTTGTGAATTTATTTTTACAAAAAAATTCGCAAGAAACAAGATAAAATTCTTATAACATTTTCTGCAAATTTTTACTATAGAAAAAATTTCTATGATCATTAAAATTGTAGCAAAATTTGCAAAAAAAATTTGTGGATTATTTTTCATAAAAAAATTAGTAAGAAATTTATGTAAATTATTTTTCGCAAATAAATTTGCAAATTTTTTTTGTAAAATTATTATTGCAAGAAAATTCAGAAAAAAAATCTGCGAATATTTTTTATAGGAAAATTTGCAGGAAAATAACACTTTTCTAATAGTAAAATTTTAAAGAATTTTAAAATATTTTTTCATTATAAAATTGTTTTGTGATATTTAACAAAAAAAATGTGATATTCATTTAAGACAATTGTGTTTTTAAGAGTATATTAAAATTTAATCGTATTCAATTAATATAATCATATTTTAGGAGTATGTCAAAATCTAGTGATATTTAAAAGGCTGATGATATTAAAAAATATAAAGATTCTAATGGATTATTTTAATAAATGAATTTTGTGAGATTTTTTAGTTGAATTTACTATAATTTACTCATACAACAATTTCATCAAATTAAACTATTAAAATTTTGCATGACATTTTTTTTCCTGTGTCGTCTTTTTTCTTTTCTCAATTTTTGCTCTCATCTTCTCTTTTCTCTTTGTCTCATCTCTATCTCATTTTTTTTTTGTCTTTTCTCATGTCTTGTTTATATCATACTCTTTTTTTTTTTTTTTCCATTTCTCTCATTTATTTCTTCTTCTACTTCTTTTTCTTTTTTCTTTCTATTTTTCTCTTATGTTTCTTTATCTATCAATAATTATTGGTTACATTTTTATTTATTAATATTAATGTATAATTTATCAATGTTTATTTTTTAATTATTAAATATTTTAAAATATTAAATATTAAATATTGTTAAAATTTAACAAATACTTATTTTTAATAAAATTTAATATTAAAATTTTAAAATTTTAAATATATATTAAAATATATTTTGTATATTATTCAAATTCAATAGTATGAATGAGAAAATATAAATATATAAAGAACTGTATGTAGAAAAATGTTATTCAATAAGAAATAAAACGAAAATTAATTATTTATTAAAAGATTAAAATTTTTATTAATTAATTTATTTATTTAAATTTAAACCATATCATTTCTGTATGTAAAAAAATTGCATTATTTTTAAAAAATCCATATTATCCTTTAAAATTTAATAAAATCATTTCAAATTTTATAAATTCTTAAAATATAAATTTATTAAAAATTCATATTACAAAGTTTTGATTAATTTTTTTAAAAAACTTAAATGTCATTCTTACAAAATCTTTTAAAAAAATCTTTAAAATTATTAAATTTCCACATTTTTTTTAAAACTTACAAAGCCTTTATATACTTAAAAAAATCTTATAAAATGTAAATCAATTTGTTGCTATAATTTATTGAATTGCATGTACGAGTAAATAGATAAATTATTGAAATGCAGAGGGTTTAGCGAGGGGACTTTTTTTTTTGTTAATATACCAATTTTATTTATTTATTTAAATAACCTAAATTGAGTTATATTTACTTAAATATACCATTTAGTTTTTTAGGTGAGAAATCGGTTATCCAGTAACCGATTTCTCAATGGGCCCTTTTTTTTGTATTTTTTTTTTGAATTTTTTTTTTCAAATTTGTTATTTTTTTTTTGTTTTTCAGTTTAAAATATTTAGATTTTAAAAAAAATTATAATGAAATTTTAAAAAATTTATTTAGTTATTCTTTTTATTTTAGATTATAAAAATGTATTTAAAATAAATTTTAAAGAATAAAATTGAATAAAAATTGAATAAAATTAATTTTAAATAGAAATTTTAAAAATGAAAATATTATGATAAATGACAACTTTAGATAAAAACAACATTAATTGAGATGAACAATTTGAAATAAAAACAAAATACAACAATAAAATAGGAGATCGAATAAAAAAGAACAACAACAGAATTACAATCCAATAAATTACAATTCAAGTTTAATGATGTCTATGTCCACCCGTTCCACACCTCGGAGGTTGTCAGTTCCTTGTTGGGTTTCGACGACCAATGCGTGGTTGTTGTGGTTCAACCTGGTCCTCATCATATTCTATATTAACAGTATTGGTGACTGGATTTGACGAACCACTTCCATCGATCTCAAAGTGATAAGACGAAAGTGAAGGAAAATTTATGCTTTGCATGTAATTATATGCACTTTGTGGCGTGTGTACGTCGACACCGAAAAGATTGCTCATGAAGTTCCTTGTTGAAGTTGTTGTTGATGGTGGTGTGTACATGAATTGTTCATGATGCGTATGAAATGATGGATAAGACTGGGGTGTTGTTCCACACTATAAGGTGGGTGATTATCTCCAGCCATTGGGAATGTTGGCTCAAAAGACATGTTTGCCCTCAAGAGGACCTTTGCTTAATTTCGGACAGACACGAGTCTATCAAAAATGCCTACGCTAGACAAGGCAGTGGTTGGACACCCGAGAATTCAGTACGTGCATGTATTCTGTATTCGCCATATAACTCAAAACTTCATGAGGCATTTCAAGAATACAGAACGAAAAAAAATAATCATCAATATGGGTATGTACTTAGCATCATTAATTACTTTAATTTGTTTCACCATATTTCAACATTACTAAATTGTTCATTTTTTCCTAATCTGATTTCACAGCTTATGGGATGACTGAGCCAAGATTCAATTACTACTATAACACGCTAAGGAGCGAACCAGAAACCGAAGGTGTAATTGAATGACTCAATACCATACCAAAAGAACAATGGACTCTTGCATGGGACGGTGGCCAACGATGGAGACACATGACTACCAACTTGGCTGAGGCAATTAACTCCATTCTTAAAAAAAACAAGAAATTTGCCAATTTCTGCAATCATCATGTCGACTTATAAGAGATGTAATGCCTTATTCATCCAAAGGGGGAAGGAAGTCGACGCTAAACTTAGGGCTGACCAAGTTTCTACGGAAATAATGAATAGGGCCATGAGAAATGTAGAATCAAAGGCTAATAGTCATCATGTCCTCGAATTTGATCGTCACAGTACACGTTTTCTGGTGCAAGAGACCATTAACCCAAGGGAAACACGACTTACTGGAACTTTCACAGTTAGACTACATGATAACTGGTGTGACTGTGGAAAATTTCAAAAGCTACACATGTCATGCTCCCATGTTGTTGCTGCATGTAAGCATGTTCACCACGATTAGAAATCTTACATAGATCTGGTATAAACGTTACAATATGTTTCAAATGTGTATAACGAATTATTTGGTGAACTGCCCAATGAATCTTATTGGCCGGATTGTGAAGAACCGCAAATTATACCAAATCCGGAAAAGATTAGAAATAAAAAAGGTCGTCCAAAGTCATCCAGAATACGCACTGAAATGGACATGGTTGAACCAGGACAACTAAGAAGATGTTCTCTCTGTAGAAATGTAGGTCACTCAAAGAAGAAATGTCCTTATCGTCAAGGAAGTTCAAGTCATCAAACTTAAAATGTCATCAAACCTTCCAAATATTATATTTTGTTTACTATTATTTTAAATAAATATTTTCTTTTTTTAAAAAATTTAATTAATATTTATTTCATTATTTATTTAGTTAATAATTATTTCATTATTTATTCTTATTCTAAAAACTGAATTAAATTATTTTATTTAGAATTACTAAAAAATTTTAAAAAAATTGAAAATTGAAAATTAAAATACAAAAAAAATAAAATTACAAATCTGGAAAGAAAAAATTAAAAAAAAAGAAAAACACAAAACGAAAAAAAAAAAAGAAAATGGCCCATTGAGAAATCGGTTATTGGATAACCGATTTCTTAAAAGAATTTTTTAAAACTTTGTAAAAATTCCTTTGAGAAATCGGTTACCCAGTAACCAATTTTTCACCTCAAAAACTAAATAATATATTTAGGTAAATATAAATCAGTTTAAGTTATTTAAATAAAAAAAAATTTGGTATATTAAAAAAAAAAGTCTTAGCTAGGGTTGCAACTTGCAAGTTATATAAGACGGAGAGGGTTTGTATTTAGGGTTTAAGCGTGCAGCCCCTGTTCGTTACCAATTCCATTTCCATTCTGCAAACTACTTCTCGCTCTCTGCTTCTACCATGTGGGCACTTCGTCGAGCTTCTCTTCGTCTCAGGTAACATAACTTAGTATTGCGATGAATGCGAAAAATCTATCTCTTCTCCATCATCCCTAACTCGTAACTTAACCTTCCTTTAACATCCTAGACATTAGATAGAATAATCATTTTCTAAATGCAATTTTATGTTACTCAAGAATTTTAGTGCGGTGTGCCTGATTTTACGAATTAGGGTTGTGACTGCGATTAGGTTAATGATCCTCTGAAACTGTTGGTGTTGTTCTTGTTTCTGCTTCTTTTGCTCCTGTTTCTGATTAGTTCGTGTTTGTTGTTTATTGTATAGGAGCCAAGGACTGAATGCGGGAGCTACTCGTGCTTCTTGTGTTAAATTAGTGCCATCCACTTGTGTGGAAAATGAAGATGGTATCCATCAGTCTCATCAAATCACTTGTGGTAGATTTCTGTCGGCTGATGCATTTTCCCGCGGCGGATGCGCTTCCCTGAGTTTTGCTGTGACCAGGCGTGAGCTTTCCTCGCAAGCTGGTGCTAGCAGCACGAAGGATGATGATGATGATGATTTGGAAGGTGAGTTGTCTGAGCTGGAGGTGCACGGAAGTAATGATGAATCTGATGCAGACCTGTCTGATAGTAAGGAGGATGGTGGAACTGAGATTGATCCAACCAAGAAAAGATCACAGGGTAGACGGACTGATTCAGAACTATTCAAGGCAATTTTATATGCTCCTGGTTTGTCTGTTGATTCTGCTCTCGATAAGTGGGTTGAAGAAGGGAAAGAAATAAGCCGGAAGGAGATCTCATTGGCTGTGCGGAATCTTCGGAACCGTAAAATGTACGGAAGGGCTTTGCAGGTAAATTAATGAAACTTATATCTGCTACCAATTTATTCAGTTAAACATTTAAATTATTTTGCTTACAAATTTAGGTTGCCACTGCTTCATATTTCTGGATGTTTCAAGTTTATTTGACAATTGACATTATACTTGTAATGCTCTTTATCTGAAACTCTAAGCAAAAAGAATAGTAGTGTCTGGTACCATGCTATGATTTTTCTGTTGTTTATTGCCTAATTTACAGAACCAAAACCCAGAAATTTAAGAAGAATCATAACTTTCAAATTGTGAATCCTGACCCCGATAAGGATCACTTTTTTATTTTGTAATTTCCATGTAATCAGATAATATGACTTAGTAGAGCTATGTTGGATACCTCCATTAAGTTCCAACGCCAAGGTGTTAGTAGACGAAAATGAATTATAAAAAAATTAGTTGACTGAATTGAAATCTATGTTAAACTTTGAGGATTAAAGTATTAATTTTGCCTTTTTCTTATTTCATTACTATGCATAATTCTTTTTTTTTTTTTTGTCCTTAGTGCTCTTGTACTATTGTTATTCTTTGTAACATACTAACATAGTAATATCTACTTTTACACTATTCCTTAATCAAAATTCGTAACCAGGGTCTTGTGGTTTTAGGTTTTTTTCCTACTGTTTGCATCCTTACTCTGTTATATCCTCAAATATATTTATTTATTTTTATGTCTGATATTTGTTTGCATCCTAAAAATGAACGTGTATAACAGTTAATTTCCTTGAGACATTTTATTCTATTTCTAACTCTTCGTGTATGCACTAGTGAAGTTCTGTTTCAAGTTCCAACGGTCCCTTAACATATCTAATTTAGTGGGTAGTATCATTGTATTCACATACTTACACTTGTCCATAAAATATATATTAATAGGGCTGTTGTATATTTATATTTCAGAGATTAAAATAAAAATTCCTAAGTAACATTTCCGAAGAGAAATTAGCCTATACTTTCAAAAAGGGTTAATTTCACAGGCAAGCTCTTCTTTTCTTTTCCAGAAAACCCAAGAGGTTTCTTCTCGTCATATTTAAATAGCTATTATAATCATATTTATCCAGTACGTGCTATAACAGTAAAATAGCACTGTTGTGCTGTGTACTTGTGGCTGTAGGCTGCTACAAATTTAGTTTGTGGAGCATTTCTGCTTTGTCTGTTGTGCACAATTATCATTTGAAATCACATCTGTTCGCCCTGCTATTTCTTCATAGAAGGTAAAGCCCCATTTTGCTCTTCATTTTCTGACTTTTCCAATTCTAATTCTTCAATATTTTTGTCATTTCCCCGACATATTAGACATCACGAAATTGGAAACCTTCATTTTTCTTTCTACCTTTATTCATTGTTGGTGGCAAAAGAGTTCAGAAAATGTTAAACTATTTTTCATTCAACTGCATAAGTTCCAATTACAGATAAATAAACATACTGAAAACAGAACAAGTAAACATGTAAGGTGTTCTGTTGCTACCTCATGATTAAAAATCATAGCTGCATTAACATTCATGTGCTTCTGTTAGTTCATCCACACTCAAGCTTGAGCCCACTGATTGCCAGTGATATTTCCAGCTGTTCCCCACATTTTCCCGCATCCACACTAGTCACTAGCATCTCTCGCCTGTAAACCTTAACCACACATTCTCCACCCAGTCTGCTGCTCAATCTCTGTTAACACCCTTCTGGAAGTTTGCAGAATACCCAAAGTGGAAGAGTCAGAATTTAAAATCATCTCATTGAGAGTGGTAGAATAGGATCTGAATCAATGTAGAGGGTATCAAGACTGGAGATTCAAAACTTCAGGTGATCTTAATACATATACTGAAATTGGATTCCAACCCAAAAATAAGGGCGTGGTTGTGGGCAGTGTTATCCAAAAATCATAAGTTAAAACTGAAATTTCTAACAGAAGATCAACACTATACCAACATTCAAGTCAGGAAAACATTACAGATTTTTGAAGGTACCATGTCCATCATCAAGAACGAAACTGGAAATTTAGAGGTGACAGGCTTAAAACAGTAAACTTTTCAAACTTTCATAGGATATAAAGGTATGAAGAAAGATGCTGAATCTGAGTAAACTACAAGAACAGTAATTCTAAAACAGATTTTTAAAATATCATAGGGGTCTAAATAGTTCATGAGCTTGATCTTAAGATTTAGGATTAAAATAAAATTAAGTGCTCAAACATTGGACTGCCCTTTTTGTCGAGTGATAAGAACTTGGGGAGAACCTTACTGCAAGAACTAGCTGTTGTAGTTGGAGAGTGCAAGATCTTGTGCACACTAGAATCCCATTCTCCAATGTGGGATTCAAGTTCCGTACTTTGCAATTGGATCCTAACATGGGGTCTCAATAAGCATTCATAATTACAGCACAAGATGGCCATATCAACTATGCACGAGCACCATTTTGAAATAGCATGATAGTCTTCCTTTGTTTCACCAACTTGGATCTTGGGGGAGGGAGGGGGTTTACCTTGTTATTAAATCCTCCTCGACTTATCTCAATGCATCATATGATGCTTCCAGTTCAACACCAGTTGGCAAATCGGTTTGATTAAAATTGGGAGTGGGAAAAGTGGTCTCCTTTGCAACTTTTGGCATCAAACTTCTCTGAAACACATTAAATAATTTGCACGCAGACCTCAATAACTACTAATTATGGATAATCTCCTTTTAAACAAAACCATGATAAGAAGCAAAATGCTTTTAGTAGCATGTGATTTGTCTTCAATTAATAATGCAGGCATATTGTCTTATGTGGAGTGTTGTGTTCCATAAATGTATTCTGTGTAGTATGTAATAAATAATAACTATTATATTTGTTTAATTGACTGATTGACATTGTTGGTGTATATTTTGCCTTTTGAGTTTCCAGTTTTCCAATATTTGGCTTTAATATTGTAATGTTATTGTTTTTGGTTGGAACTGCAGCTCTTTCAGTGGTTAGAGTCAAAAAAGAAGCTTGAATTTATGGAGAATGATTATGGTTCTCAACTAGATTTAATTGCCAAGTTGCATGGCCTCCCAAAGGCAGAGAAGTACATCGAGAGTGTTCCAGAATCTTTTAGAGGCGAGCTATTATACCGAACATTACTGGCTAACTGTGCTAGTCAGAACAATTTGTCGGCAACGGAGAAAGTATTCAACAAAATGAAGGACTTGGATTTACCACTTTCAGCATTTACTTTTAACCAGTTGCTGCTTTTGTATAAGAAGATTGACAAGAAGAAAATTGCTGATGTGTTGCTGCTGATGGAAAAAGAGAATGTCAAACCTTCTATTTTTACGTACAGAATCCTAATAGACTCGAAGGGACGGTCCAATGATATTGCTGGAATGGAGCAAGTGTTTGAGACAATGAAGGCACAAGGCATTGAACCAGACATCCAAATACAGGCACTCTTGGCTAGGCATTACACCTCAGCTGGGCTTAAGGAAAAAGCTGAAGCTATATTGAAGGAGATTGAAGGTGAACACTTGAAAGAGAATCAGTGGGTATGCCCAACTTTGCTGCGTCTTTATGCAAACCTGGGAAAGGCTGATGAAGTGGAGAGAATTTGGAAGGTCTGTGAATCAAAGCCTCGGATTGATGACTGCCTGGCTGCAATCGAAGCTTGGGGAATGTTAAAGAAAATTGAAGAAGCAGAGGCAGTTTTTGAGATGTTGTCAACGAAATGGAAACTTAATGCTAAGAACTATTCAGGTCTTCTGAAGATTTATGCAAATAATAAGATGCTAAAGAAGGGTAAGGATCTTATTAAGCGAATGGCAGATAGTGGGTTGCAAATAGGCCCATTGACCTGGGATGCACTTGTGAAATTGTATATCGAAGCAGGGGAAGTCGAGAAGGCAGACTCAGTTTTGCAGAAGGCAATCCAACGGAATCAGTTGCAGCCAATGTTTACGACCTTTATGGCTATTTTAGAGGAGTATGCAAAGAAGGGTGACATCCATAACTCGGAGAAGATTTTCCATAGAATGAGAAAAGCTGGTTATACGTCTCGAATAAGTCAGTTCCAAGTTCTAATACAGGCATATATAAACGCCAAGGTTCCAGCATACGGGATAAGAGAGAGGATGAAAGCTGATAATCTATTTCCCAATAAAACGTTGGCTAACCAGTTGCCTCTAGTTGATGCATTTAGGAATAATGCAATTTCCGATTTGCTTGATTGAGGAAATTGGCATATTCGGTATTATGCCAGGATTGTTTCTACTTTCCATGCAACTATTATTAGGTAGTTGAATTGTAGATTTCACATTTGAAGTTTAAATGTTTTGGCTTGTACTGCTATTTATAAGTTAGATACACTTTTGTCTTTAAGCGCATATATTAACGCTTAAATACTGGTTTTATGATTTTATAACGTCCGTTTGATTTTCCGGGTAACGTTCGATGGTTGTAATTCGTAAAAGCAATTTTTTGTTTTTTTGTTTTTCAATTAGAGGTTACAATCATTATCTATCCCGATAGGGTAACAAAATAGTAGATAAATATTGTTAAATCCCTCTCTCTTAGGTGAAATTAAAATCGATGCTTTATGCAAGTATCCACAGATGTCTGAACAGGCCAAATTTGATGGGCTACCTTGATATATGTCTTTTGTGCTCAAAGTAGTTATTGGAACGTACATTATTTCAATCCAAAATTCGAATTGTCCCTTTTTCAGATGTGCAGGATACCCATGAATCTTAAAGCATTTATCCTTGGTATGACCAAGTTTCTGGAGCGACTAGGTTTCTGGAGCGTGTTCACACTTGGGCATGTTTTTGCTAGAATTGCCGTTGGATCCTGATTTGTATGCAAAAGTTGTTGGTGTTTCATTGGAATTTCTTGCAATTCCAATTTGTTGTTGTTTCTCCTCTTGCATCACTAGAGAGAAAACCTTTTCTATAGATGGAATTAGGTCCATTAATAAAATCTACCTTTGATATGAGAATAACCCTCATTTAACCCTAATCAAGAACACCATGACATATTTAGATTGATGATAATCAATCCAAGATTTGATACCACCACAATCACAGGTGTGTGGAGGTTTCCCATAAGGCTTTATCCTTGGTAAAATAGTGAGTGATAGAAAGTGAATCATCAAATCCGTCTCAATTGAAAAACATGTGGACCATTTTGTTGCAAAAATTTGATCCGAAGATCATTCCATATGGCCACAACTGAAGACGGATAGTGTACAATTGCTTGAAGATCCTTTGAGATTGAGTTTAACAACCAAGAAACAACGATATTGTTGTTTCGTTGCCAAGAATGGAAAGATTTTTCAGTTTCCTTTGGCTTAGGAATCGTTCCATTGACGAATCCAATTTTGTTCTTTCCTCCAAGGACCATTAAGATTGCTTTGCTCCAAGAACTATAGTTGTCGCCGTTTAATGGTTGTGAGATGATGAATGCACCAGGGTTATTCGACGGATGAAGGAAGAACAGATTTGCATAATCATCGTTTGGAAGGGATGATGAATCTCTCACATTAGCCATTACGACAAACTAACATGAAGAAGATGGATGAACAACGAAAGAATAAAAGAGAAAAATTATTCTCCTGATACCATATCGATGATCAAAGACTGCATATACTGAATAATACTTTTACATTGATAGAAAAATAGAGTGGTGTTACAAAATGGTTCTACAACTTAAATATATATAGATGAAAAACAGAAAAATAACTATCTAACAATATGAAAACTAGGCTAGAGAACTAAATAAACAATAATATGAGGTGTATATACATATTTTGATACGTGGAGAAAAGATGCACTAGAAGGGGGTTGAATAAGTGTGTATCAAAATTCACACATTTGAGCAGTGAAGAAAAAAGAACTTAACAAACAAAATGTTGAAGAAGAGTTAGATGAAACATAATAATTTTTATACTAGTTCATCTCAAGCACAAAAACTATGTCCAATTCTCAATCTAACCAGATTGAGTTTCACTATTTTTTAAACAAGATACAAGTATTCTTTCAACAAACCACTTCTAGCTGAATCCTAAGTTGCCTTTAACTTGCCTCTTCAAGCAATTACCCAAGTATTCTTTAAACAACAAGCCTCTCCATGCTCAACACCAAGTATTCTTTCTAAATAACTTTCTTCAAGCTCAATATCAAGTATTCTTTGAACTACAAGCCTCTCCAGTCTCAACCCTTACAACAAAGGGTACAAAAGATTATGAGGTTGTTTCGTCGCTTTTTGATATGTTGCAACCAGTAATAAAAGTACAAATAATCTATAAAGAAGTATATATAGAATTCATAGTGAGTGTTTCTTTGTATGCGAGTCTTTGTTCTACTTCTTTCTTGAAGACTTGATCTTTATATAGTAGCTTTAGAGAAGATGATTATTGCGGCACTTTTAGTTGAACTCACAAGTTGCTTTATCCATCTTCACTGTTGATCCTAGAGGAAAGAGATTACCGTTGTTTCATTTAATGCGACCATTAAATGCTTTTCAGTAAAATGTGTATTTCTTATCTGATCTAGGAGGCTATTTATCATCATTTATTCTAAAATGGGGATAGCAGAAACAATGTTAGCACAAAACAATTTTTATAGAGCCTTTTTCTGCTTTTTCGTGATATCCAAGATTTTGTCTTTGGTTTTGACGGATAATTTGACTTTTCCTTCTTTAACAGATTTTGAGAGTTTTAAGACATCTTCCTTATTCGATCTGTTAAGGAATAAAATATTTAATGGAATTTATTGTTAGTCTCACTTAAAAATATTCGTTTAATACATAATGAGATAAACTGTATGTTTCGTCTGATTCTCTTCATCTTACAAACGATATACATTTTACACTTTGTTTGATATAAAATATTTTATAGATAATTCATTTTGTTTTAAAAGAAAATATTTTATTTGTTATCGTTAAAACTTGAGGTATTCAATATCGTCTTTTGATTTAACTTGATATTCTTTCTTTTTTGAAGTAATATTCCATTATTTTCCTTTTTCTATATCAAATTAAAGGTTTGAATATATTTTTATCCTTTATCTTATTTTTTAGATTCATTTTGATCCTTTATTTGTTAAAATGTTTATTATGATCCTTTATCTTTTATATTTGGATCAATTTGGTCCTTTCAAAACAATCAATTTTGAGACATAATTTTGAATCAATTTTTGATTGATTCAAAATATGAAACTTGTAATATTAGATTTAACTAAATAAAAATTATAAAATTGAATTGACATTTGAATCCAAAAGGGTTATAAACATAATGAAAATTATATGAAAAATTTATCCCACAAACAATTAGAAAATAATGTAAAATTAGATTTTTTGAAAATTTCAATTGCTTTTTAGACTTATTTTTATGTTATTTTTACCATGTTTACGATAGGTTTTGGTTTGAATTGTATTTGTTTTCAATAGTTTTTATATAATTAAATCTAACGATATAAGTTTTAAGTCTTGAATCAATTAAAAAATAATTTAAAATTATGTCTCAAGAGTGAAAATAATTATTATTTAAAAGGGATCAAATCAACTTAAAATTAGGAAATAAATGATTAAAATGAACATTTTAAAAGATAAAGAATTAAAATAAATTTTATGAATAAGATAAAAGATCAAAAAAGTATAATTTAAATTATCTTCAACCTTATTAGACTAAATCAATTTGACACATCTGATTTAAAATAAATTAGGAATAAGATAAAAGATCAAAAAAGTATAATTTAAATTGATTTAGTCCAGCAATATTAACACATCTGATTAAGTCCCTCGACTCCTACTAACTAGGACTTGGGATCAAATTTGATTTCTCTCGTATTTTTATATCCTTTGATGTAAACTTGCATTAGAGATGGAATATGCAGTCCATAACCTTATTGAAAGTCTTCAAAAAAATTAATGGTCGACTCTAACCTTACATAGGATCGTGCCTTATCTTAATATAAATTTTTCATTACCAAAAAAAAGAATTTGATTTATATAATTTAAATTACACACACAAACTAGTAAAAAAGTCGGTTTGAATACAAAGTAAAAGTGTTTTTAAGAGGCTTTCTATTGATTTTTTTTTTAATTTTTAACAAAAATTTTTTTTTCAAAAAACTTCTCTAAATTTGTATCTAACACACTCTAAGATATATATATATATATGTTGTGCTTACAAACACTCACCAGAAAGGTAAATTATACATATGCAATGTTGCAGTTGAATGGGATGAAAAGAATAACTGGGGAAGAATTAGGATCAGGAAAATGACTTTCTATAATTAAAGTGAGATAATGTTTGGTGTCCAATTTAATTTTAGAGTAATATTTTGAGTTGTAGATAATATGTAAAATAAATAATTATAAATAATACCACTTGCGTAAAGCGATAAATTATACTATGAATCGTGTTTATTTCAAGGTATATATACTTTTTAAAAAGGTGAATTTGAGAATATCGCGTTTTCTCATATTTATCACAAATTTTGAATAAATATTTCTAAAATGTATTGATTCTCCATTTTAAAATTTTCAGATTTTTTTATTTTATTTTTTATTCTCACTTAGATTTTTTTTTTTTTTTTTTTTTTCTCACATCTTGAAAAGGGGGATTTTTTTTTTTTTTTTTTTTTTTACATAGTCTATGCAAAATCTCAAAATTAACTAGAACTAATTTTATACCAATATTTTAATACGTGTAATTTACATACAAATATTTATTATATATAAATAAAATTTATAATAAATTATATATACAAATAAATATCATGTTTCAATATATAAATTATATTTAAAATTTTTATAAATTTATATTTTTAAACGTTTAAATTTATAATAAATAATCATATTACAGCACAATATCCTTTCATTTATTGATAATTTAATTTAAAATATTAAAATTTAATTTATAATAATTATGATAAATAAAAATTAAATTAAATAAAAAATATAAAAAAATTTCTATAAACTCTCTAGTTGAAAATTTTTTAATAAAATCACTTTCGCATAAGATAAAAATTTGTGTTTTAATACATATGAGTTAATTTCTACAAAAATAAAAGCTATTTTCTTTAGTAACTAGATATTTCCACTTTATTTTCCCATATTTATTCTTTTACTATTTTTTTTAATAATTTTTAATCAAATAAACTTTAATTCTTCTTTCTAAAATTACTGAAGCCAAACCAAATATGTTTATGAACGACAATATTTAATATTTATGAATTACAAATAAAAAGTTTCCTATCTATAACAAAAGATGAATGAGATACTTTCTTCCTTAATTGCTTTCATAAAAAAACATTTTATTTCTATTTAAAATTTTATTTTTATATTTTAATTTTTTAATTTTCTGAAATAACTACATATATATTACATTTTTATTGCAAATAAAAACTTCACATTACTCACATAATTGTATATCTTGTCCTTTTTGTTTTGTTTTGTTTTTTATTTTTTTATTTTTTTATTTCTTGTTTTTAATCTTCATCTTTTTTCATTATAGTTGATACGAAATTGTCCCCAAAATTATTATTTTTTTATGAAAAATAAATAGGTACCCTAATGAAACTTTTGATATACAAAATATTTTTGCATTTTAAAAAATCTGAAGTTGGAAACATTAGTTTTTCATGTTTAAATTATCATCTAAAACATAATATTCCTAAATAAACATGATTTGAATCTTTTTAATACAAAATTTCCACCAAATTATTCTCACAGGATAAGTGAGAATTTACAACATTTTAAAAATATTATTTTATGACAGTAAAAATATTACTTTATCTTTATTTATTAAAGTTGTACAAATCTATATAATTATCAAATAATATTTATAAACATTTCATTTATAACCAACTAAATAGATTTATGATTTTTAGAATTTATGATTATGAAGAATCATGATTTTCCAAATATGAAAATGTTTTCTTTCTACCAAATGCCCTCCTATGTGTCTCACATCAATTCCACCGGTATAAATAAAAAAGCCCCATATATCTAAACTTACAATCATAAGTTGATGTATATTGTATTGTATCTTCTCTTCACTCGAAACTACATAAGTGTATGTGAAAGTGTTCAATTCCTTTATTTTCCCATGGCAGGGATGATGAGGATTGTGAGGAAGACAAGCATATCCCTAAAGAGCACTTGGATTAAGTTCGATGGAAATGGTCTTCATTCCTCACTTGATATGGACAAGTATGATCTCATGCGTCGGGTTCACATAGATGCCCGTGATTTCAGAATTCTTGATCCTCTTCTCTCTTACCCCTCTACCATTCTAGGTCGAGAAAAGGCTATTGTTCTTAACTTAGAGGTGAGGTGATACACTTCTTCACATTTTTTTGGTTTTCCATTTTGTTTCATTTTATTCTATTGTTTTGCTTCTGTGTGATTTTGCGGCTTCAGTATATCAAGGCAATCATCACTGCTAATGAGGTTAGTTAAATTTTCTTTCCTTTTCTACAACTAAATCGTAGAAATTAATATGGATCGCAGTTTCTAGATTGTGATTTTATATATAATATGTTTCAAAACATTATAAATTATATTGGCTTAGGTGCTTTTGCTAGACTCAACGGATCAAAATGTGGTCTCTGTAGTTGAGGAACTAAAAAGGAGGTTAACTATCACGGAAACAAATCAAGGGGTCGGTCAAGACAATACCGGTAATCTTCATTCGGATTCATACCCGAATAATAAACATCGCTCCTTCTTTAAAAATATAACTATCCAACTATTTGTATTTATAATAATGTATAATTATTAATTAAACCATGACTTAATTATAAATACCTTATATAATATCACCACTACGCCAAAATTAATTTTTTGTGGCTATTTATTGGGAAAAACCCAAGTCCCACATCGACTAGAGATTAGGCAATTAAATAGTATATAAGTGGAAAGCAACCCTCACCATACAAGCCGGTTTTGTAGGGTTGAGTTAGGCTTAATCCACTATTCTAAGATGGTATCAAAGCTATCCTAGATTCTTAAAAATGGGCCACCCACATTCATTGATACATGCACCATGGGCATGAAGGGTGTATTCAAGTCCCGTCATTAAAAAAGGGTCACCTACTATTCATTGATACATGCACCATGGGCATGAGGGGGTGTATTTCAAGTCCCGCCAATCCTAGATCATTGAAAAAGGGCCACCTACCATTTATCCACGTACCAAGCCCAATAGTGCTGGACGTGAGGAGGGTGTATTGAGAAAAACCCAAGTCCCACATCGACTAGAGATTAGGCAATTAAATAGTATATAAGTGGAAAGCAACCCTCACCATACAAGCCGGTTTTGTAGGGTTGAGGTAGGCTTAATCCACTATTCTAAGACTATTAATTTATTATTTAATAACCATATAAATGATCATTATTTTTTTTACCAGCATTTAAATAATGACTGGTGTATCCAGTATCACTAATATTATTATCGACATTTATATAAAATGCTGGTAAAGATCTACTAAATTGTCGAAAAAACTTATTTTTTTAGTGACAATTCTAGTAGTTATTTTAAAGGCTATTAAAAGTTATTTTTTTTCAATTGTCTCCTTTACTTTAAATAATTTATTCTTATAATTTCCTTTTCTAAAATTCATAACTTATATATTTTTTTTATCTCTACTCGATGTGGGATTTGTAAGATGAGAGTTGTCTTTTTTTTAATTTATTTTTTAATTATCTTGTCTCTTAAGAAATGTGAGATTTATAAGGTGAAAGTTGCTCTCTAATTATTTTATAACACTATTGAATTTGGTAATAATGGGTGATTTGATACCTATTTAGAATAGTGAATTAGGAGTCAACCTTATAAAATGAACCTATAAGGTGATAGTCGTTATTACTCACTTATATACTATTTAATTATCTTATCTCTAATCGATGTGAGACTTAAGTTTTTTCTAATAAATAATTGTCGCTAATAGTAAACTTTAGTATAATATAAATACATTTTTAGTGGCTATTATATATTAGCCATTAATATTTTTATATATGACGGCAATTAAATTATTGCTATTAAATAATTGTCGTTAATAACAAATTTTGTTATAATGCACTCTTTTAGGATTTAATATATATATATATCACCATGTCCCTTAATTTTTGAGAATTTATTTAAAAAATTATGATTAAATTCTTGATCTTTCATAATTTTGTAATTATTGGGTCCTTAACATTAGTAAAATCGTCACAAGTTATTACTTTTATGACCATAAATTAACTACAGAGATTCAATTACAAAAAAAAAAACTAAGTTTAGGAACCTAATTATTTTTTTAAAAAAAAGTTTAGTGATCAATTAATATATTATTTATTCATCTTTTAATATATTTTCCTGTTAACAAAATGAATATAAATTAGAATTATGGCTGAAGGTATCATGTTTTGTCTAACCTAAACTTTGATTTATACTATTATTTTATTTCTTATTAATTTTATCTTTTATAATAAAAAGTAATATTGACAATAATAAAAAAATCTGCTTAGCATAATTTTATTTCCATATATGCAATGCAGAACCCTTTGAATTCAGGGCCCTCGAGGTAGTTTTGGAAGCAATTTGTAGTTTCCTTGATGCACGCACAACTGAACTTGAAATGGATGCTTATCCCGCATTGGATGAACTTACCACCCAGGTACATATTTTCTTAGGTAAATATCTTTTAATCCGACCAATTAGAAAGTGATTAGATACTTGTTGAGGCGTTCATTCTATTCTTACTATGGACAAAGGTTTCTTTGTTTAAGGTTTCCGTTGGTTGGTGTGTAATGCGGGTGCTCAATTTAGTTTCATATTCGAACCTTCTCTGGGAATCTGTTCCCTTTTTCTGTTATTTTATGAAATTAGTGTTTTTGTGCCGTTGTTATGATCTTTTTCAAATTGTTGTAATTTTTAGATAAGTAGCCGTAATTTGGAAAGAGTTCGAAAATTGAAGAATACAATGACGGGGCTGGTTGCCAGGGTTCAAAAGGTGGGTCTACGTGATTTTACTTTGCTGTGTAGGGTAGTGTTTGTATTGTGAAGAATCCTTTTTACAAGAATGAATGTGAAATTATTCTAAATTCTAGCTCCATCTATCAAAATAAATTCTAACTCATACATATGGAAGTTGACAATGTATCATTTTTCTGAGTTAAAATATTTTTTTATTATTAAATATGATAATAGTTGTATTTGCTTATATAATGTAATAAAAATATATAATATCTTTTTTTTTACTTAAAAATATATTTAATTTCTTAGTAAAATATATAAATATTTCTAAAATTATTTATAAACAACCAAAATTGATTTTAATTATTCTTAAAAATATGATTCTCATATGTATATAATGAATTATTGTTGTTATAAACCCTTAATGTTGAGACTGCTATTTGGGATCTTTTTAATTGTACGAGTATATAATGAACAATTAAGATCACTTTTCTCTTATCTTAATTTCCATAAATTATTGTTATTTGGTGAAGGTAAAAGATGAGCTTGAACAGTTAATGGACGATGACGATGGCATGGCTGATCTATACTTATCAAGAAAATCATCAGGCACATTATGTTGGTCTGCCACGGCCCCCACCATAGAATCAAAATTATCCAGTGCTAGTAATAGAGCAAGTGTGGCACTTTATCTCGGAGATGAAAATGATGTGGAAGAGCTTGAAATGTTACTGGAGGTTATAATATTATTTAGTTTTAAAAATAGATAAAATGATTCCATTTTCGTTATTTACTCACAAAAACAGTTAATAAGTGGTGGCTTTTCATTTTGCAGGCTTATTTCATGCAAGTTGAGGGCACATTGAACAGATTGAACACGGTATGAGTCATCTGTGTGTAAGCATTAAGAGAAGTGGTGAAGCTTGATTGCTATTACTTTTTATATGTACGAAATGCTAATAATAATTAAGTACGGAAAATATTTTATATATTTTATAATTTGGGAAACAAGATTTAATGTGTCTGTAGCATAATTGGTTCCTACATCGGAACTCCGGAAAAATCGTTTATCCAATTTCCGTAAAGCAAGATACTTCTCACACTTAGTTCTTGATTTTCTGCTCATTAGCATTTGGTTTTCTGTATGGAAGCGTAGTCACGATTATATATATATATATATAGTAATTTGTATGTGAAGTCAATTTTTGGACGAGAGGATAGAACTATATATCATCATATATAAGGGTGGGTACGTATTCTTGTATTTTTATTTTTTTTATTTTCTTTCATTAATGAAACTTTTTCATTGTAAAAAAAAACAAACTTATTTCTTGATACAACAAAGTAATTTTCAGACAAGTTTTTATATTCTTAATTTAGACGTGTTTTGTTTTGTTTTTTTTTTTTGAATTTTAGGAAAGTCAACTTTGGGAAGGGATAGATAGAACTATATCATCATATCTCAACCATAAATTTATATGAATGGGTACCTCTTATATTCTTTATTCTCTTTTATTAATGAAATTTCTTCGTCGTTAAAAAAATATTTAATTTTTGATAGAACAAAATAGCTTTTAGACAAATCTATATGTTCTTAGTTTGTATGCAAGTTGCGTTACTTTATCTGCTCTATGTTAAATTACAAAATGAAGTTTAGATTTTAACAATACGCGTAAAGAACATAGAAAAAAATCATTATGGAATGTATCCTACATTTGTAATTACTTATCATTTACAGCTACGAGGGTATATCGACGACACTGAAGATTATATTAATATTCATGTAAGTATATTTTATTTGTAACTAATACCTATTTATATTTGTGAATGACATGCCATGTAAGTAAATTGTTGATATTTTGCAGATTGACAACCATCGAAATCGGCTGATTCAGGTGCTATTAATTATATATGATTTTATATGGCACATATCACAAATGATTGTTCATTTTTTTTAATGTAAATTATTACTTACGATGTTGCTAAGCTTCTGAATATTTTTGTCCATCTTCTTTATGCAGTTAGAGCTATTTCTTTCCTCAGCAGACCTTTCTCTTTCATTTTTAGCTTTGGTGTGTGGACTGTTTGGCATGAGTATTCCATACACTTGGAATCAAGACCATGATTACATGTTCAAATGGGTACGCACCTAAACATTATTGTATGATGCAAATTAATTTTGAACGAGATATATAAACTTAGAGAAAAAGTAAAAATATACCTTTTTTCGTTGGCAGGTAGTTATTTTTGCAGCAGCTTTTTCTGTTCTAATATTTCTCGTGGTAGTTACCTACGCTCGCAAAAGAGGATTGCTTGGATCTTGAGCATGTGAATCATTCAGCTGAATGAACTCAGAGAATTGAATGACCTCTCGGAATCTCTTGTGCTGCAGTGTTTTGAACTAGACCTGATTTTATATCTCGTTGAATTATTCTGCTCTTAGTGCCTAATTTTGTAAAAAGTGCTTGAAATTAATTATAATTTCTAGCATGCTACATATTTAATAAGTCATTAATTCTTAAAAATAAGGCACTACAATAATTAGATATTACTTTAAAGAAACATGTACTTATATAGTTCAATTCTGTCAGAAAAAAAAATAGTATAAGGAAACTACAAAAACCGAAAAGATTGTATTACTGATCAGAGTAAAAAACTGAAGAGATTGTAATGACAGTAAATCGAGAATAAAACTGTTTAATGGCAGGTGACTTAAAAGCGGTCATATTCAGAAAAACTTTTAAATAATTAAAAACTGAGTTATAAAGAGATCGAAAATAATAAAAATGTTTTCATCAGAGACGAATAGACCTATTTGCACTGCGACAAGCTCAGGAGGAATGAATGCGAGCCCATAATTCATTCTTATTTCATTGGCAAGTATATAAACACATATAACTACTTGTTTCAATCACACCAAAAAGTAATTTTTTCCGAGAATTTTATAGCAGCTACAATTTAGTTGTGCTAAATTCCTTTTTAATGTATATATATATAATTTAGAGTAAATTACACTTGCATTTTTTTTTAGAAATATAAATGTTACACTACCTTTCTTTAATAGATTCTGATATATGACATTTTAATTATTTTTTAAGCTTTTTATTAAAGTTTCATTAACTTTTGTTAACAAAATTAATAAAATATCCTTTACATTAATATCTCTTAGATATATGAATATTATACCATCTTTTCTTCTTGTGTTAAAATAAATACTTTCATCCTTTAACAAATATAAATGTCTTATCTCCCGGTACAATTCTTTTTTATCTCCTTATTTACATATTTAATTATTATTTTCAAAATTTTTATGATTTTTCTAAATTTACTTATATATTTAAAACAAATATTTTAATTATTAATGTGACGTAGCAATATTGGTGTTTTAGTAGCCCAGAACGGGCCGTTCTAAGCTATTAAAATGACCAGTAAATCGTAGCTGAAAACGGGCCGTTCTGGAGGGAGAACGGGCCGTTCTGGGTGGAGAACGGGCCGTTCCGGAAGGAGCACAGACCGTTCTGAAGGGGAGTACGGGCCATTCTGGGTGGAGAACGGGCCGTTTCGGAGGGAGAACGGGCCATTCTGGAGGGGAGTACGGGCCGTTCTGGATGGAGAACGGGCCGTTCTGAATGAGTTCCAGAACGGGCCGTTCTGCATGTAATATTTGTACGTGTTGAAGGGGTGCAAAACGGGCCGTTCCAGTTTCGGTACAGGCCATTCTGGTCACTCCGGAATGCCTATAAATAGAGGTTGTGAGCAGTTGAGGAGGAGAGGTTTTTTTTTTCTAGAGAGAGGAATTCTAGAGAGAAGGGCTCTGGACTGGAAAGCTAGCTTTTGATGGATTGAAGTTCCGAGTTGAGCTTCGGAAAGGGGATTCTGCTTCTGGGCTATCCTGATCCAATCTTCAAGTAAGGCCAGCTAGTTGAAGTTAAGTTGATAAGTTGCTATAGGGGTGAACATGTTTATGTTGTAAAGTGGTCGATTATGCTGATTAATATTGTTAATGCTGTATGATGAAAAGTCGAGTTGTGAAGTATGTTGTTTATGCTGTTAATGATGTAACGCTGAGTCGTATTGTATGACGCTAATGCTGAATTTCGTTGTTGAGCTGATTAATGATGAGTTGTGTTGTGGGATGTTCATGCTGAATCATGATATTTAAGTCGTCTTGTATAATATTGAGTTGTTTTGATGAAAACGAATTTTTGGGGTTTTCGGAGTTTTGAAGATATTTTGGGATTTTTGATGATTTGTGTTTGCATGTTGAAAATGAGACATTTTTATTGATGTTTGATGAAAATGGAGACTTTTGGCTGGATTGCATGCTGGTTTTCTGTTGATTTTTGCAGGTTGTGGGCAATTTTCGAACTTGGGAAAATTGCTGCTGAGATTCGCGCTGGGCGCTGTTCTTCGTGCCGGGCGCGTGACCATCAGGAGACTCTATTTAGGCAAGCCCGCCGGGCGCAAAGGTGTGTGCGCCGGGTGAGCTTGAGAATGGGAGTCTCTGGTTGGCCCCCGCCGGGCGTGACTTGAGCTGCGCCGGGCGCGATATCAATGGTGATCTGTTTTGGGTGTTTTGGTGCCGCGCTGGGCGCGCGTTTGGACTCGCTGGGCGCGGAGGCTCCTTTGGAGTCTCTGCCAAGAGGGCACTGGGCGCTATGCGAATTGCGCCGGGCGCGAGGCCTTGGTAGGTCTATGCCTTCCCCACGTTGGGCGCGGGTTAGGCCACGTCGGGCGCGTGAGACTCCTTGGAGTCTCTGCCTGGTATGCGCTGGGCGCAATCTGAATTGCGCCAGGCGCGTGAAAGCCTTGGGCTCTCTGGCTGAGGCACGCCGGGCGCGAGAACTCTTGCGCTGGGCGCGTTGGCACCTGGTGCTCTATGGTTGAGCCGCGCTGGGCGCGACCATGGGTACGCCGGGCGCGTAGGAGGATGTTGACTTGATGTGCTATTAGTTGTTAAACTTTGCTGAAATTGCTGAGAGAGGTTGTTTTATGCTGAGCTGAGCTGTAGTTGTTAAATATTGCTGTGCTAACTAGTTGATAACACTGAATTATGCTGATGAGCTGAAATTGACGAATATGTCGTTCTGTTAGATGTTTTTGCTGATTAAGGATATGTTTAGGCTGTGTTGTAAGTTGTTTAGCTGAGCCGTAAGCTGCTAATTGTTGTATGCTAATATTGCTGTGCTGAGCTGGGCTGTTATTGATGATTTTCAATGCTAAAATTATATTATTGCTGTGCTCTAGAATGATGAGCTGAGTTGCGAGTAGTAAGCTGTGTTGAATACTACTTAGCTGTACTGTATGCTGATTTATTGTGTTGTGCTGTGAGCTGTTTGGCTGTGCTGTGAAATGCTGAGCTGTATGCTGTGTATGGCCACTCTGGTGGTGCTGTTTTAGCAGCTATGTCAGTGCTGTTATAGCCACTATTGTGGTGCTATTTTAGCCGTTATGTCGGTGCTGTGTTAGCCACTATCGTGGTGCTGTTATAGCCGCTGAGCGGTGCTGATATTGATGAATTGCTGTAGTGTAGTATAAGCTGTGCGGATGTGCCGATAGCTGTAGTTATTTTCTATTCACATATTTATATATGTATGTTGATTTCTTTACACTAGCCTACCCTTTGTTGTCTCCATGGTGTTTGGACTGCGATGATCATACTACGTATGAGAGCAGAGCAAGGATAGGTAGGTGGCTGATGGTGAGTCTGCAGCTGGCAGATGGAGTGGATCTTCTAGGATCTTTTGATGTTTAGCTACTTAGTGTAGTAGCTTTTGATGTATTTGTACACTTTAACTCTATCCAGATTTGGATCATGTATATGTATATATTCTAGACCCTATATGTATACACTTGTTCCTTTCTGTGTGGTGTTTCTAGTGTGTTGTGCAGTGTGTAGTGACCAGTCGGGTCGTTACAATTAAAATTCTTTTTTATTTATCAAAAATAAAATAATATATATATATATATATATAAAGGTAAAAATATAATAAAAAAATCTAGCTTTCAAAGGGAACAAGAAGAACCACATGAGAACATTAAATGTTATTGTCTTAATTATGACACACCATATATACATACACGCCGTTTACTTTATATA